AAAACATTGTTTAAAAAATAATTTTAAGGAAGAAATATGATAAAGAAAACATCTTCAGGGATTTTTTAAATATTTAAATTATACCATCTCATATCATTATTTTAATTGTACAATAATACAAATATTCGAAAAAAGTTCAGGCATGATCAAAATAACTAAACAATGATACATTTATTTTTAAAGTAATTAACAATAAGGACAAAGCCAAAAATTTAATTAGAAGATCTAAATGAGAAAATATATATAATAATTGAAAGGAATTTAAATATGTGCATATGACTAACATAATACAAATATTTTAATGTATATATTTATAATCAATAATTTTACAAATATATAATAGAAATAAATATACATATTATTTTTTTAAATGTTTTTAATTAATTCTTCATGACATAAAAATAATTAATTATTATATTTGTGATAAACTTTTTATTAATTTTCATAATATAAACTATCATTAAATTTATATATATATATATATATATAGAGGGCTGCGCCGGTCCCCTTATCTCCATCCATGGTTGGTTAAAAAAAAAAAAGTTTTATACGTAAGCATGGATTGGACTAATTTTAAAAACACAAATTCAAACTAAAAGAAGACATATATATTTTCATGTACGGCGTGCAGAATGGATTTTTTTTTTTTTTTGAGTTGAGAATTGGTAAAATTTTTAAAAATTAACTTTTTAAAGAAAAAAGTTCTACATTTTATAAAAAATAATAACGTTAAAAAATATTAAAAAAACACCATTTAAATTCATATATCTGAACTTTATAACGTTTGTAAACCCCTAAAAAAAAGCGTATTAATGCTAATTAAATATTTGATACCTTTTTAAAATTTTGAAAAAAATAAGAAATATGAGAAGATTTCCATCTCACCTGCAAAAGTGAATAAACTTATAGAATAGCAGTTGAAAAATTCATCCCTTGATTAAGTCCACAGAGATGGGTTTTCCTGCTCATCATTAAAATGAGATTTGCACCATCAAAATTTTATTTAAACGGTCAAAATTTAAAGTATTTTTATTATATTTATTAAAATAAAAATTTATAAAAAATATAAAATAATTTTAATAAATTTTTTAGTTTTAACCTGATCTAGATTTAATTTAAAGAATCTAATTTAATATTAAAACTTTTATAATAAAAGTATATTGATTATCCAAATGTACTTTGCATAATCCAAATTTTTTTTTATTTGAACTGTGTAGAGTATTTCTAAATAATTAATATACATTAATTATAAAAATTTTAAAATTAAGTTGGATTCTCTAAAATAAATTTAGAGCAGATTAAAATTAAAAAACTTATTAAAATCATTTTATATTTTTTAAAAATTTTTATTTTAATAAATATAATATAAAAATATAGAATAATATTTTAAATTTAAATTGTTCATATTACAATTTAAATAGTTCAAATCTCATTTTAAAAACAAGCACATGATGCATTTGCTCATCCTTGGAATGGGCATGTGCTCATGCACATCATGTGCTCATCCTTCTACATGTGCTCATCCTTGGGATGGGATGAGCACATGGTGCAAGGTTGAGGAGAGAAAAATATTATACCATCTCACATCATTATTTTGATTGAACAATAATATAAATATTCAAAAAAAGTTCAAGCATGATTAAAATAACTAAACAATGATACATTTATTTTTAAAGTAATTAGCAATGGGGACAAACTCAAAAATTTTAATTAAGAGATGAGGATGACAAAGCATATATGATAATCGAAAGAAATTTAAATATATGTGTATCACTAACATAATATAAATATTTTAATGTATATATTTATATTCAATAATTTTACAAATATATAATAGAAATAAATATGCATCTTATTTTTTAAGTGTTTCTCATTAATTCTTCATGGCAAAAAAATAATTAATCATCGTACTCATAATAAACTTTTTATTAATTTTATTTTTAATATAAACTATCATTAAATTTATATATATATATATATATAATTAGGGCTGCGCCGGTTCCCTTATCTCCATCCCTGATTGGTACAAAAAAAAATAGTTTTATACGTAAGCATGGATTGGACTAATTTTAAAAACACAAATTCAAACAAAAACAAGACATATATATTTTCACGTGCGGCGTGCAGAATTGATTTTTTTGAGGTGAGAATTGGTGAAATTTTTAAAATTTATCTTTTTAAAAAAATTATATATTTTATAGAAAATAATAACGTTAAAAAATATTAAAAAACATCATGTAAATTAACTTTATGACATTTGTAAGTTGTAACCCCCCCCCCCAAAAGCGTATTAATGCTAATTAATTGGATACCTTTTTAAAATTTTGGAAAAATAAGAAATATGAGAAGATTTCCATCTCACCTACAAAAGTGGATAAACTTATACAATTGCAGTTGAAAAATTCACCCCTTAATTAAGTCCACCGAGATGGGTTTCCCTGCTTATCAGTGGAATGAGATCTAAACCATTCAGATTTTAATTTAAACAATCAAAATTTAAAGTATTTTTTATTATATTTATTAAAATAAAAATTTATAAAATGTATAAAATAATTTTAATAATTTTTTAATTTTTAACTTGATCTAAATTTAATTTAGAGGGTCCAATTTAATATTAAAACTTTCATAATTGATATATATTAATTATCTAGATGTACTCTCTACAATCAAATCTTTTTTTATCTGAATTGTGCAAAATATATCTGAATAATCAATATACATTAATTATAAAACTTTTAATATTAAGTTGGAGCCTCTAAATTAAATTTAGACCCAATTAAAATTAAAAACTTATTAAAATTATTTTATAATTTTTATAAATTTTTATTTTAATAAATATAATATAAAAATATATAATAATATTTTAAATCTAGATTGTTCAAATTAAAATCTAAATAGTTCAAATCTCATTTTAAAAACGAGCACATGATGCATAAGCACATACATCATGTGCTCATCCTTGTGATGGGATGACCACATGGTGCAAGGTTGAGGAGGAAGAAATATTTAAATTATACCATCCCACATCATTATTTTGATTATACAATAATACAAATATTCAAAAAAAGTTCAGGCATGACCAAAATAACTAAACAATGATACATTTATTTTTAAAGAAATTAGCAATAGGGACAAAGCCAAAAATTTAATTAGGAAATTGGGATGACAAAGTATATATGATAATCGAAAGAAATTTAAATATGTGTATATGACTAACATAATACAGATATTTTAACGTATATATTTATAATCAATAATTTTACAAATATATAATAGAAATAAATATGCATATTGTTTTTTAAGTGTTTCTCATTAATTCTTCATGCCCTAAAAATAATTAATCATCATGTTCATGATAACTTTTTATTAATTTTATTTTCAATATAAAGTAATATTTTCAGAATCAAACCTGATATTGAATTGGAAAGGTCAGCGGTTAACAGTTCGCATGGTTTAACTGAGCTGGACTAATGATCCAACCAATAACGTAATAATTACATTAAAAAAATTATATATGTATATAATAATCTCAATATAAGAAATAAATATTACTTAACTTAAAAAAATTAAATGTTTTAAATTTATCATGACTTAATAAGCCACATAATATAACATAACATCAAATAATTAAAAAAATTGGTCATTTTCTTAAAAAAATTCAATAAAAGAGTTTCTTTTGAACAGTTTGATTCTTGAAAGTTGGATCCAGTTCTCGGTCGGATCGTCAATCCGAAACAATGCAACCTGGCTCAACCTCCAAAACGGTTTTTATATATTGACTGAATCAAAATCTGGACCAATGTGACCACCTGGTTTCGTCCGATTTTAAAATCACTTATATAAACTATCATTGAATTAATATATATATATATATATATATATAATTAGGGCTGAGCCGGCCCCCTTATCTCCATCCATGATTGGTTAAAAAAAAAAAAAGTTTTATACGTAAGCATGGATCGGGCTAATTTTAAAAACACAAATTCAAACTAAAAGAAGACATATATTTTCATGGACGGCATGCAGAATGGATTTTTTGGAGTTGGATATTGGTGGATTTTTTAAAATTTAACTTTTTAAAGAAAAAATTATATATTTTATAAAAAATAATAACGTTAATAAATATTAAAAAAACTTCATGTAAATTCATATATCTGAACTTTAAAACATTTGCAAACACCCCCCCAAAAAAAATCGTACTAATGCGAACTAAATATTAGATACCTTTTTAAAATTTTTTAAAAATAAGAAATATGAGAAGACTTTCATGTCACCTACAAAAGTGCATAAACTTATAAAATTGTAGTTGTAAAATTCACTTCTTAATTAAGTCCATCGAGATGGGTTCCCATGCTCATACTTGAGATGAGATTTGGACCATTCAAATTTTAATTTGAACGGTCAAAATTTAAAGTATTTTTAATATATTTATTAAAATAAAAATTATAAAATAATGTTAATAATTTTTTTACTTTTAACCAGATCTAGATTTAATTTAAAAGTTCTAATTTAGTATTAAAATTTTTATAATTGATGTATATTGATTATCTAGATGTACTTTGCATAGTCCAAATCTTTTTTTATTTGAATAATATATGTAGATTATATCTGAATAATCAATACACATCAATCACAAAAATTTTAATATTAAGTTGGACTCTCTAAATTAAATCTAGACCAGATTTAAAATAAAAAATTATTAAAATTATTTTATATTTTTAATAAATTTTTATTTTAATAAATATAATATACAAATATATATTAATATTTTAAATTTAAATCATTCAGATTAAAATCTAAATGATTCAAATCCCATTCCAAAAATGAGCACATGGCACATGACGAGCACATGGCGCATGTGTGCAAGGATGAGTAGGGAAACTCATTCCAGTGCACCATGGGTGGATCGAGCAGATTGCAGTCTAAGTGGTGTGATAAATATATTCGCTATAAAATTGAACAAGTACTTGTATTCTTTGCTCCGCCAAGCACCCCATCGCTTCCTTATTGGAGATTCAAATCCCATCCTCCTTCCTCTTCACCTTTCTTTGCTTTGTCTTCTTCATTTACAGACTTTCAACTTTAAAGAAATCTCTCAAAGCCTTGCCCCCAGGACCATGGAAACTACCTCCTTATGGAAATTGTTGCTGGCGAAACCATAGCTTATAATAGTACAGACATAGTCTTCTCTCCTTATGGAAACTATTGGAGGCAACTTCGAAAGATTTGCACTTTAGAGCTTCTGTCTGTAAGGAGGGTTCGAGCTTTTAGAAGAATCAGGGAAGAGGAGGTTTCTGCGTTCGTGAAGCATATTTCTGAATATGGAATAGGTTCTGTTGTGAATCTCACTAAGAAAATCTACCCACTCACGAATTCCATAGTTGCTCGAGCAGCCTTTGGCCGGAAGACTAGGAATGTAGAAGACATTTTATCGGCTATGGCGTATGTGGTGCAACATGCGATTGGCTTATCGATCTTTGATCTCTATCCTACGATTGCGTTCCTTCGTGTGATCAGTGGGATGAAAGCTAAAGCTGAAAAAGTGTGTACAGATGTTGACAGGATGCTTAATAGTATCATCAATGACCACTTAGAAAAGAAAGTTGGCCCTATGGAAGGAGCAGAAGAGGATTTCGTTGATGTTCTTCTCAGGATTCAGAAAGAGAATAATGACCTAGAAATCCCACTAACTCTCGACAATATCAAAGCTGTCATCTTGGTAAGTCTCTATTTAATTTAATTATGACTTTTCATATCTTTGATTGACTGTTAATATATTAATTGTTTTAGGACATGTTTATTGGTGGGACAGAAACAGCAGAGATGACTATAGAGTGGGCAATGGCTGAGATGATCAAAAACCCAAAAGTAATGAAGAAGGCATAAGAAGAAAGAAGGGTCTATGGAAACAAAGGACGTGTTGATGAATCAGAACTTCATCAATTAAATTATGTAACTGCAGTGATTAGAGAAACTTGAAGGTTACACCCACCTGGTGTTTTCATGGTTCCAAGAGAAAACAACGAAGCATGTGAAATCAATGGCTACATGATCTCTCTTAAGACTAGGGTGATTATCAATGCTTGGGCTATTGGAAGGCATCCCCAGTATTGGAACGAACCTGAGCTTTTTCAACCAGAAAGGTTTATTGATAGCCCAGTTGATTACAGAGGCACTAACTTTGAGTTTATTCCATTTGGTGCTGGAAGGAGGATATGCCCAGGAATCTCATTTGTCACACCAGTTTTAGAACTGATTGTTGCGAATCTTCTTTATCATTTTGACTGGAAACTTCCTAATGGGGAAAAGAATGACGAATTGGATATGACTGAGGCCTTCGTTGGTGCAGTGAAAAGAAAAAACGACCTGTGTTTAGTTCCCATTCCATATTGCCCTTAATTAGCTTGAGTCATGATTTGATTAGCACTACATCAATCTATATATGTGTACGTTAATCAATAACTGAGAGGTTATATGGACTCTCTTTGCAGCTATATATTTTCTGAAATAGTGGTGGTTAGAAATGGAAGAATCCATGTTATCAATATATACATCCATACATATACATACATACATATATATACATATATATATAATGGAACGAGCTAGAAGACGGTAGTGTACTTAATATATTTCCCTATGTTTTGTTGGATAATGTTAAGAATCTATATATACAACTTTTTTTTTATTTGCATCTTTCTTTCATATTCTTATTAATATTACACATTGACACTATTTATGCTTTGCTCATATAGAGTTCCATCTGTAGAACAATCTGAAAGCTAAGTACACACCATAACTAGGTGCTTTGCTCATTGTTTAATTCAATCAACCTTATACAATTAAATTAACGTAGAAGAGAATCATTAAAAAGAAAAAACACACACACACGCACAAAGCCATGATTCAATTTGCACACATCTATCATGAGATGGAATTAATCAATAGAATATGTCATTTGCATTATGAGATGAAATAAGATAAGAATAATCATTCCACTGTCTCTCTTTCTCACTCTTTTCCTATTGTGCTTTAGTCCTTATTTATTTTTTTGGGAAGTATAAAGAGTAGACTCCGCCATTAACAAAACAATTTTTTTTTTTTTCAAGAGATCACTCAACTAAATTGAAACATATAAAAAGATTAAGTGTCATGCCCCAAAAATAGGGGTGACCGGCACAGGATGTAAACCACATCATACATCTCGTAAACCACAAATTCAAGGTTTATTTCATTTAATTAAAATGTACTTAATTTTTTTTACACTGACATTTTAATACTATTGATACTAATCATTATAATAATTATTTTAACATTTTGTAAAAATTTTGATAGAACCTCTTTTGTGAATAAGATCTCTCAAAAATTCTGTATCACAAAAGTTTTCCTTAAAAATTTTATCAATCAAGAGCTCAGCTCCTTCTAGCCGCAGGCAAAAATGTATAATAAACTAAGAACTCTAATTATAAGTTATGTGGAGCACCTAATCATATATCTCATGACATAATACATAAATTTCACCTTTACATCCATGAAACATATTTACAGAACAAGCCTCCATTCAATAGTTTCGCAAACACCCATTCTTGGTAAACAAGACATACAACGTCAATTATGCTATTTGAGACCAAAATAATTTTTCAATGAATAACGTCTCAAAAATAGATAAAATGAAAAGTTTGAAATAGTTATGTAAGTTAAAGAGACAACAATTTTCATAAAAATTTAATAAACTTCATAATAAAATGGCTCTATAAAATTTTAAATAAAATCTCAAATCATTGAATTATCATAGCAAATGATAATTTTACTTGATTTCAAGAAAGCACATAAATAAAATAAATATTTATAAATAAATTACTAAATAAAAACCAATAGAATATGAAATCGTTAAATGTTTGGATTCATAATTATAGGGACTTATTAGAACAATTTACAAACGTGGATACACAGTCCACGAGGGTAACTAACCAAATGCAGCTTATGCCACGAAAAAAAACGTGGACACATAGTCCACAAGGATATGTAACCAAACGCAGTCAAAGCCACGAAACAAATGTAGACACACAGTTCACGAGGGTAATGCCAACCAAACATGGCCGAAGCCACGAAACAAACATGAGTACGATGCTCACGAATAACCATCCCTCTGTTCCACGTGCGTTGGCCATCGCACAGGGCTAGCACCTCCTATGAACACCCTGCTAACTAGGTGTACCATGGCGCGTCAAGGGCTAACGGAACTGCCGTTAACAACCAGTGTTCTATATAAAGTCCCTTTTTAAAATCATTTTTAAACATGTAAGAAAATCATCACTTTCAAGATACAGTTCTCATTTTCAAAATCAAACTTGCATGAATACTTTTAAGCTTTAAAACTTGCCAGAATCAAATTTCATATCCAATGCTCATGCTTGCATTTATTGAATAAAATAAAAAAAATTTTAACTTCGAACTCGCATGAATCATTCTTGATTTAATTGATCAAAAATGAAAATAACATTTTAAATTTGGTAAAATAAAATCTCACAATCAAAGTTCAAACTTGATTTAATTGATCAAATAACATTTCAAATTTGGTAAAGCTAATTGCTCACAATAAAATAATGTTAATCAACAAATATTCAATAATCGCATTAATGCTATAAAAATAATTTCTAGAAAAATATAATGTTTTAGTAAATGAAATTTTGATTAAAAAAATTAGTAGGGACGTAACCCACTTACCTGAAATATGTCCGAGTACTAAAGTTAACTTCTTAGACCCCAATCGAACCTTCCTTCCACTAAATGCCCTATCTAATATAAAAAAAAACTTCAATGGCATAATCAAGTTTGATAAACTCTTTCCAACTCTTGTCAAGTGCAAGCAACAAAACTTAATTAATATTATACATATACATAGCATAATTAATCATTCTAAATTCCAAGTTCTCCTGTCACCCTTTCTATCAAGCAACTCAGAGGCATTCCTAAATCAAATTTTTAAACATTATCATTTATAATATCATCCATACAATTTCATAGAATGCAACTTGTCTCAGTACAGTTTCATACTCAAAATTCTTCATACCATTCAAGTTAAATTCATGAACAATTAATACCCAAACTAAGTATGTACCCGTAAGAGTTAATGAAATTTTAAAAAAAATCATATTCGATCACAACTTAGCATTCCACTAAAATACAGTCTCCTAATAAACTTTTTGTCAAAATTTCAAAACTACATTCATTTGCTACTAAAAACTAACATCCCCCTATCAAACAATTCATCAAATATTACGTGCATTCAAACTTAAACCACACGATCATCCTTTAAATATCTTCCCCAAAATTTCATGAACATATATATATATATATATATAAAATTTACCAAACTTTTCAAATTTCATTCCCTCAACTAAAATCAATTTAAACTCAAAAAAAATGCCAAATCTAAACAAATATTGATCATGCAGCCAGCAAAAATATAATATAGCTACTTGGCAAAAGTGAAATCCTTAATCTTCAACTTAAGCTTGTTAGAACATTCAATAGTAAAGCAAAATTTTAGTGATCAATTCCTAATCCAAAATCTTAGCAAGCAATCACAATACATACTCAAATCTGACAAGGGAGATAGTGAAACTTGGCTCACCAATAAAGCAAAGAGTATCGAAGGAAGGGGAACCAGAATTGCAATGACAAAACATGAAGATCAAGAAGAGCAGCTGTGAACCGAAATAGAGGAAGGAAAATTCATGCACCAACAACTGCACCCACAGTGACGCACGAGTGGAGGAGAAGCAAGACTGAAGCTTCCAATCGCCCACACCTCTAATGACCGCAATAGAAGAACATGGTCTGAGAGAGAAAGGCGTTGCTATTCCAACACCTAGAAGATCACCAGCAATATTGAAAACGAACACACACATGGCTGTCAACTTAGAACAGAGACAGTATTAGGGAATGACAAACTAAGAAATTCAGTAACTCCATGCTCTCCCTCTCAGTGACAAGAACACAAAGTAATAGCTAGCACACACCTCACGGGCTCATGTTGACATAGATCATCACGAAGACAGGGAAAGGAAGTCAGCAACTGAACTTCAATATGGCTGGAAACGTGAATGAAAAGGACGAAGTAACAGCAGCAAAACGATTTCCTACCACAGCAAATTAAGAAGGTTTATAAGAGTGAAGGAAATGAACTGACTAGAAGCGTCTAGAGGAGTGTATAATGGCGGTGGAGAACCAAAAACAAGATGCTCTGTTTTTGGGTTTTTTTTTCGCTTGAGAAAAGAAAACTGACCGAAAGGAGTTTTTAAAAAAATTACAAGAATGAGCATGAAAAATTTACAAGAAAAAGGCACAATAATATTACAAGGAAGGATATGAGATTTTCTTATAATTTTAAAACTAACCTTTTACTTAGAAAAATTTAAAACTTAGATCCTCAAGAAAATTTCTAGCATGAGTTCCTCTAAACTATCAATTTCTACTTTCTAAAAATTTATTTATATAAAATATCCATTGAGAGAATTTTTTTTATTTTTATTTTTTTTAAATGTAGGGTCATTACATTAAGATTCAAACTCTTGATCACTTATTCAAGTGACAACACTTTTTTGTCATTCTCGTTAACTTTAATGGATGGCTATCTCATTTCATAACAATTTAAATATTTAGTAGTCAATGCAAAGATTTTTCAAGTTTCCTAGTAAAAATTAAAGGTACCAGCCAATGTGGACTTTAGATAAGCCTAGTTGGGCTAACACTTTGCAATGTAGTCAAAGTGATTGTGATTTGGTCTAAATAGTGACATCAATCTCACCTTTCAAATATTTTATTTTATGCAACATGTTATCTCGAATAAAAATTTACAAAATTACATAAAATATATTTTTTATCATTAATCTAGTTTAGATTTAATTTGGAGTGTTCAATTTAATATTGAAATTTTTATAATTATTATATGTTGACTATATGGATTGTGCAGAGTA